GATGATTGTTGTATATATATCAATTTGAATTTTGAATTTTCCAAGAGCAATTTTCATTGCGGCCGAAAGTTTGGGGTTACGTCATAAGCCAAAAGTTTTAACATCTTCTTCATAAACTTCAGAACTAAGGATGCTTAAGATTGATTCCTGATTGATCAACTAAAAAGCTGTTATTACACTGGATACTGTTTTGCAAAAAATTGCACAGAATTTCGATCATTAAACTTATTCCGGTTTTGCTGGCGCCCGAGGCATGCCGAAAAGTATACGCCCCGTGCGCCGCACTATTGCAGTTTGTTGAACAGAAAATTGTGGTGCACGTTCGGGGTGCACCACGACAAAACTTCTACACACTCCACCTGCCTTCCTGCTCTGTTATCTGATTCTCCCTACGCCAAATAAGTGATAAAAATTTTACTTCCAAACGGTATTTTCGGTGTTTCAATTTTGTTGGGCCAAAAGTTGTTGGGAATTTTGAGAATCGCGCTTGCTACTAAAAAAACGCAATTGTTTTCTGGAATGTTTCATCGCCGTTTAAATAGATTTTTTTGTTTTAAATCGTATTGATTTTCTTCATTGTATGTATATACCAAAACTGCAAATTTCAGTGTGTTTTTTCTTTCATTTATCATTTTATCTTTCTTATTCGCTTGTGATCAGATGTTTTGCAAACTAAGGATGTTTAACTAACTTATGGGTTAAGTTGAAGTTGAAGTTACGAATAGAGTTTCGTTGATTTTACCTTGGAGTAAGTAGTATCCTACATGTGGTGTGGTTGGAGTGTCTTAATGGGTCTTAATGTCTTGGGCTTGCCAAAGGGGATCTGTTTGATATATATACCGATTTGCATTTGGCACATGTCCTATCTCCATCCTATCTTCCCTTTTTTATCCGGGAACCGTTTTTGCGCGCATTTTCAATGCAGTAAAGCTATGATTGATTGCCTGGCTAAGGGGACGGGTGACCAAGTCGAGGGAACTTTAAAATGTTAGGGTAGAGGGTCTGCTTATGCTTAAACTGTAGTAATATTTTAATTACGTGTATGTAGTTGTATTTTAATGTTGCTATGTACAAATCTGATCAATCTTTTTGCTTTTGCATTTGCTTTTGGTTTTTGGTTTTTGGTTTTCGTTCAGTAATCGGTAAGTTTTGGGGTATTCATTTCTTTTGGTTTGCTTGGTATTCTGCGGTATTAATGCTTTTAAAATCTAGTTAAAATTGCATATGGCTGCGTCTGCATTTATAATTGGTAATTGGTTTACGTGTAGTAGGTATATACTTATCTCGCCTTCCATCTCGCTCTCGCTTTCATCGTCTGCCTCGATCAGTCGATTGCTCGCCTGATCGGTTCGTTATCGTTATCGGATTTTTATCGGATTTCATTTACGTTTTCAAGTTTAGTTTGCTGTGCTGTGAATTCGTTCGATTTTTGATGTCGCTGATTGGTGTTTCCGCTTCTGCTTCCACTTCCGGGTTGTCTCCTTCATCTGCTGCTGGACTTAATCTATGTGCTTAGGCTACCTTAGATTCCGTCGCCCATAACGGGTGTAAACTGTACCTGGCGGCACCACGCCAAAGCAGCTCAGCGGTCTACCCACAAAACCAAGAATGAAACTGATGTGGCCTATTGTCTAATGTGTTTGGCATTTTTGAATTTTTCCACACCGAAAGTTTGCTCTGGAGAAACTGAATTGGTTTTCTTACTTTGGCTGCTCCAAAAAAACACGGGCCGAACTGTGGTGGGCGTGGCTAGAAGGAGAAGGATGCACCGCTGCTGCTGGCCGTGGCCGCCAGGTGTCGCTGCGCTTGGTTTGCGTCGATCGCTTAACAGGATAATGAAATTTTTGTTGGATTTAAATAGAATTTAGCTTACCCTTCTCGTATTGCCTCGTCTCTGCGCTCCACCGATTAGTTGACTTTTAAAGTGATATTAGTGGTTTGTGAGGTGTTTTTTTGGTGGTGGGGGTGGTGTGGTTGCCAATCAGTTCCAATTTTGCGGTGAGAATTGCCAAAAGCTTCTGACGGGGATTGGGGGAGATGTGAACCAAAAAACGGGGAAGCCGGGGAGGTTTATAAACAGCCAAAAGGTGGGGGAATCATTTTGTTTTTGGTAATTTTGTTAAATAAAAATCCAAGCACCGTCATGTGTGTTTTCTTTTTTTTTTCAATAAATTTCGCTTTTATTAACCAATTATCGTTCGAGACCTGGTTGCCTCTAGACTTGTTGACTTAAGTTTAAGTATGTATGTTTATGTTTAGTATAAATGTATGAAATATGTATGTTGCATTAAATATACGCAAGTAATCGAGTGTGTATTGTGTGTGTGGTGTGCTCTTGTTGGTACGCAAGTATACTGGTTCATTCGCCTTCCTTGAGGTAAAGAAAGACTAAAACTAAGCGCTGACTAAAACTGACTTTAAAAAACAGAACAGAACAGAAAGGTCCTCTGAATCATGATAATTTTCTTGTAATTTACGCTGTAAACTGCCTCAATTTTGACGGCCTAGATACTGCTGCTGTCTCTCGCTATTTTCGAATTTTGCTTAAAGATAAAATTTCGCCTAAAGTTTTGTTTTGTTAGCCAAACGTTTATTGTTAATACGCCTTAAATTGCCTAAATGGTTTCCATCATCTCTCAAATTTTGCTCGTCTCGCAATTGCGAGTCAATTAACTATTTTTACAATCAATCAATAATTTCGTATGGAGGTCCCCGATTTGAGGGCCTCCATATTGGTTTTATCCGAAACAATAATGCATTTAGTTCGATTTTTCGATTTTTAGTTGGTTGTTAGTTACTTTTTTCTATCACAAAATCAGTTACAATTGTATTTAGTTCAATTTCATTTTCCAAATTTCAACTCCATTGCCAAAAGTCGCCTCCATCTCCATCATTTTTTTTTACTTAAAATTTTGTAAAGGCATTAACAATTAACGCGTCTCTCCGGGCCCTTGAATTTCGACTTCTGTCTGTTGTGAATTTTTTTTGGTGAAACTTAGGTTATGGAACTCAACTGAATAAATGCGATAAACTTAAATTTCAGTTCGATTAGCGAATGCCTCTTCCTGCTTCTACTTTGTACGTTTCCCTAAATACTAATTTCGCAAATGCATTTTTCTTTTATTTTCTGATTCATTCATCAATTATCCAAACATCAATTTTCATTTTCAAACTCAATTTCGATTTCGATTTGATGAACCATCATTTCATTCTAGACTAGGAAACTCACCGTCTTACTCGCGACTAATTTTGTCATAGTAACGCCAAAGTGCCATAAAATTTTGCTCAGTTCTCTGAGGTAAGAACTCTGGTTAGGCCTAAAAACTCGCATAGTTCGTTTCAATTTGGTTTTAGCTAAAATTCAACTATTGTTTAAAAATTTCGTGATCGTTGGTGTGGCCGAAAAGTTTGCTGGGTGCGATCTCGTCTACTGCCTGGTCCTGGCGGCGGTGTTTCCGTCTACTCACTTCAACTCCCACCAGAGGGCGCTAGGGTGCGGGACAGGATTTAAGAAACTAACTGTTTAACTGGCTGGCTGGAAGAAAGCTCCTCGGAGCAATTGTCGGGCCGAAAAGATCGTTTTCGCTTCGTTTGTGTCGAGGAATATGATTTTGTTTGAGCCAAATATTCAAATGATTTGCATGCTTCGATGATGTTGCAGTTGATGATGTTTATTGCTGTTGTTGTTTCGGTTGCAGCTGCAATATAGGATGGTGATGTTGTGTTGCAGCTGCAGCAGCAACAACAGGGTTTGCCCGCCCCTGGCCCCAATAAATCTCCGGACGGAGAGCAGGCAAACATATCCCTCTTAACCCGCCCACTTTCCATGCTTAGTCTGCTGTGCTGATGAGTGAGAAGTGCATGATCGATCTCAGCCAGCCAGGTATTATTTTTCGATTATAATTGTACTTATTTTTAAGCTTCAAAAACATGAAAAATCAATAAGAAAAAACCATAGTTTAAATTTGTATTTTTGGTGTTTCGTGTATATTTTGTTTTGTTGCAACTCAAGGCCAAGTAAAGTAAATTAATTAAACTAAACGTTAACTTAACTAAACGTATAAATTATTTACATAAATAACAGACTAGTGTGTGTGTGTGGTGTGTGGTTGTGTTGATTATTCTATAAAATTAAGATGCGTGCTCAAAAGTGGCGCGCTAAAGTAAAAGAATTGATTAAAAATAAATCGTATTCAAAGGATTCTCGTTAACAATTAACTTTGGTCGAAGGTTCGCATAACGTATTGTAAATTATATAATTAACTACCCTAACGCCCACTGCTCGTAGAAATTGCTCTGGCTCTCTCTTTTTAAAAATCTAAATAGTTTTTTCTTAAATCGTTTTTTTTTTTTGCTTTAGTTTTCTTGCTTTAAGTTTTGCTTAATAGACATCGAATATATGCTTAGCGCTTAATAGGAGATATGGGGATATAGAAATCTTAATTTTGGGGTGACATTAAAAAATTATGCTCAGATTTCCGGTCGTCAGAGCTGCGCTTGCTTTTGGAAAGCAGTGTGCAAGCTGTGCGCGATAGAATCCGCGGAGAACTGCTTCTCGAAATGTCGGTCTGCCAAGCAGTTCGATTTCCGTTTCCTGCCTGGCAGAACGACTTTCGCTCTCTCAAATGAACACACACTTTGTACCTATGTTCGTGTGTGTTTGGATTTAGTGTGGAATGTTGTTGTGGCTTTGTGTGGTCTTGTCTGTGGAATGTTTCATGTGTATCAACTTTCGGTAGATCATTCGACGGCTCAACTATTTGTTAAATATATATTTTTGTTACGTATACGTAACGGTAATCTGCTGTAAATATTTTCAAAAAAATTTCAACTAACAAACCAACGCGAGTACAGTTTACACTGCCTGTAAAGTACGTTCGGTATGGTATGTGGGTGTTCTCAGGTGTGTGGCTCAGGTTTCAATTTGCACTATTTCACATAAGATTAAGACTTGCTGCTCTAAGTTTCATGTCGCTCTTATACAGTAAGAGTAAGTAAGGTTTTTTGTTCTTTTGCCGAGGATAAGTGTTAGTGTTTGTGTGTATTGATTAGTTTTTTTTTTGGGAAATTTCTGATAAAATATTTTTGCTCAGTGTGTCTTTCTAAACGCGTTTTTGCTTCTGATTCTTCGTGTTTAAATCTCTCAGCTATTTCTAAGTTCTTTGTGTGTTGTTTTCTGGTTGTGTTTTTTTTTTGCTCGATCGTGGGAAGATGGTCATATCCAGTCGTGCTTCCGGCGCAGGTTTAGCCTTTTAACTTTGGCCTGCTCCGCTTCGCCTTCGCGGTCGTGGTGGTGGTGGTGCTGCTGCTGCTGGTGGTGCCGGTGTTGGTGCAATTGGCTGTCGGCAGCGGCAGCGCCAGCTCCTCCACTTATTCCAGTTGCTCTAAAAAATTCGGCGACTTGAAGTACTCGGGCACAGGATCGTCCATGCGCGAGATGATCTTGTAAATCGATTTCTTCCACGACTGTTCGGTGTCTTTGCCGCTCTGTATTGCACGGAAGAACTCCCGCAGAGTCTGTTCGACCACGAAGCGGAAGTTCTGGGGGACCTGTGGACCGTTGGATTGCGATTAGCGACTGTGTCTTGCTTCGAATCGTTAGTAGGTTGTTAGTTTTTGAATTTCTCTTTCGATTAAGTCGATTAATTCTGTGATTCTGCATGCCCACACACACACACACAAATACTTTCGAGAGGATCTTTTAAGACGAGTATCTGATAGAATGGACAAGTGTGTGTGTGTGTGCATCTAGAGTCTGGTGTAGGGGTCAGTGTTAGTGGGTGGTAGTAGTGGTTATTGGCATACCTCAATGTGGTTATTGCGATTGTAGTGCAAATTAAGCACGCGATACAATTCACTATCTCCAGCAATCAACAGATCATCGGGTGTCTTGATGCCTTCGGTGACAGCTTGTCGTGCATATTTCTCCATTTGTATGTAGTAGAATTCTCTGCAGATGCGTAGATGAGGAATATTTTTGATTTTGGTCAGTATTCTGGTAGCTTTTTGGTTCTATTCTATGGTTATTTTTTTGGTTTTTTTTCAGCATTCAAATTTACAAAATCACAACGAAAATGAAATAATAAACGAGGCTCAACAAACGCAAGAGGAGGAAAAATGAATAAGTTCAAACGCGAAAAGTCATAAGGTCGTAAACCAAATTCAAAGGAAATCGCTAATGCTTTGCTCCCTCTCTCTTTCTCTCTTTCTCACTCTCTCTCTCTCATTCACTCACTCACACTCCAACTCGTTCTCGTTCTTTATCTGTTTCTAGGAGGTCCCTTTGCTGGCTTAATGCATTATATTGGATCGCTGTTTGAGTATGACATTATTAATAATTCGCTGCATACTCTAAGGCGCGCCCCAAAAGACTTCGTGTGCATGTGTGTGAGTGTGTCGGTGCAAGAGTGTGGGTGTGTAAAGAATTTTTAATAAATCTCAAATGTGCAGCAGCAGCTTTGCCGATGGTGGATGGCGGAGGTGGTGGAGGCAATGGCGGTGGTGCAATAACAATTGAAAGTCGAGGCGGCATCTTCTAGCTGCGGTTTTTCCCGGGGAATAAGGAGGTTGGCTGGGAGTGGGGGCGTGGCAGTGCACTGGGGGTTGGGGATTTAATTAGCAAGTGCAGTGCACTGCTTCTGCTGCTGCTACTGCTGCGTCGCCTTGTTTAGTCAAGTGATTTGTGTGTGGGCTGTGGACTCGCAAGGGGATAGATAGAGCGCAAGGATGCAGAGGGAGGTCCTTGCTTGGAGACTGTAAGTGATTGCTTGTCTTTGCCCAATGCCTCCCGGCCTGACTGGCACAGCCTCACGGATACTGCATTGTCTGCCGCGCACTAATTGTTGTCTTTCTGCTGCAAAGTCGCTGTCGCTGTCAGTCCCCCAAGCCACCCAATCCTTGCTCCCTCCCACCCTCTCGACAACGCTCCGATAATCGCGCTAATTTCAAGATTTCCCAGTAGCAGCGCCAAATGCATTTCTCATGTTGTGCCGCCAGAGCGCTCGTGTTGATTTTTCCAAACAATAAGCGCAGAATGCGCAAATAGAAAATCTTTTCCCTGCGTCTCCTTTTTTTTCCCAGAGGCGGCACTTGAACAGCAGTGGGTGGTGGTGATGGTGGTTGGTGGGATGGATTGTGGGATTGTAGGATGGTGGAGCCATCATAATGAGGCAATGGCCGAAAGAAAGGAATCGCTGTGTGACAGTTTTGTGTGACAGTTCATTGTGCCGGGTGTCCATAGTTATTAGGGATTGCTGCCTTGTCTCGTCCTCGCACATATTTCGTTTGTTTGAATGGCAATTAGCTTTGTGGCTGGCGTGAAAGGCTTGAGGCGATCCTTATGCAATCCCCCTTGCTCGACGCTTGCCCCACGCACACACACGTGTGGCAGGAAAAGGAAGCTGGAGCTTAGCGGCCTGAAATGCGCCACTTAATTTAGATAATAAGCCGTGCGAGTGCATGTGGTGGAAGGTGGAAGTGGCAGGTGAAACTGCATCTCGACGGAAGTGCACGAGGGCTTGCAACTAATTAGTTGGCATATAATATTTTTCGTAGCCTATTTATTTGTTTGGGCACTTGCACATATGGCGAGAGGGAAAGAGAGGGAGAGCTAAAGCGAGAGGGAGGTGTGTGGTGGGCGGGTGGACCTCCCACCCGCAAAACACTTGTTGAAAGGCAGGCAGGCGTTGCTTTGTCAAGTGCTTGCATCTCCCACTTTCTCTCACTCTCTGTCCCTTGCTTGTTCTGCATGTGTGAGTGTGTGGATTTCATTTTTTTTTCTTTCTGTATGGGCAGATATGTTGTATATGTGTGTGTGAGTGTGTGCTTGTGTGTGTCGCCTCCTTCGCTGCACCTTCAGAAGTGGCGATGCGATTACGATTACGGATACGGTTACGTTAACGATTACGGTGACGGTGACGGTGACGAATACGAATACGAACGAGTAGAATGTTTATTAATAAGCTCACACATACTCACCCACACATATGCAGACATCTCTACCTCATACATTAATGAAGTAATTGGCAACACTTTCGTATTGGCATCTATATACTTATATAAGCAACTGTATAAGTCATATACGGTCTATATACATACAGAATGGAGCGTGTATCGGTGGCTGTCTTTGTGTAGTTTCTGTGTCTGTGTGTGGGTGTGTGTTCATAAAATGCACTTGTTGTTGTTCTTGTTGTTGTTGTTGTCAGCAAGATCTTTTCACGCGTTTGGCCAAAAGGGGTGGAGGTGGGGGTGGGGGACAGGGTGAGAGCGGGAAGCTGCTCTAAGCGCCAAAAGGACACTTAACCTCAAAAAAACGAAAGAACGGCTCGATGAGAAACAAAACACAGAAAAAGAACAGCAGGAGATGTGAGAAAAAAATGAGAGTGTGTGTGTGTGTGTGGATGTGGGTGTATCCTTGAGCGCCTTTTTTGCCAGTAGGGCCCTGGCCATTGTGCTTGAAACTCTCAAGTAGCTGCCGCCATGAAAAGCGGCCAAAGAAACCCGTTGAATGTATCCTGGCAAACAAACTAATTAGCCCGCCAGGAGTCTGAGTGTCTACGTATGTGGATATGGATGTGAATGTGAATGCATGTCCTTTAGCCGCTTTCTTCTCATTATTTGCATTTTGGCGAGCACAAAAAGAAGTTACTGCAGCTAATGCAATTATATAAGTGGCTGGCTTGAGGACCTCGCACAAAAGGCACTTTTGTTAATTAGCCAACACACACCGCCCATACACACATGTGGCAACTGGAAGAATTTATGCATGGTGCGGCGGGGGTGTGTGATGGGGGGCGCGCCCCCTTAAATAGGCAACACATTTTAATATGCCAGCCACAAGTTTCTTGGCCAGGCTCTTCGCTATTTTCACACTTGACTCTCCATGCTCTCGAGTGGCAGCTCATCCTGTGCATCCTTCAGCTTCAGCATTTTTCTTAAGTGCCCACTTGGAGCAACATGTTATTAGAGCACTCCGGCCAGAGTGTCTCTATGTGTGTGAGGGTGTGTTGGTGGGGGTCTGCTTGTGCTTGTGTGGGAAACTCATAATATTAACTAGTGGCTAAGAGAGAGTATGAAAGCTGTTACAAGTATTCATTTCCTGGTTTAATTTTGAGGGAAAACGGCTGCAAGGGAAAGCATTTCCCTCGCCGTTGAATGAAGAACAAAAGCAACCGAAATCATTAGGAAACTCAAAAGGAACAAAAAACCGTTACACCAAAATTGCTACCCCTAGAACTAAGAAATAAAAAAAAAACTAAGAAAAGGAAATAAACAATCAAGAACCCGTTTTGGAAATCAAAAAATATTCCCACCCATTTTAACCTCTCCGCCCAAGAAGTCGCCGAGAAGACAACAAGATGCATTCGCGATTCCCATGCAAAGTAGAGTTTCGTTTGTCGTTTGTTTAACTTTACGAGAGAAACGGAAAAGGAATCAGACTCGGAATCGAAATCCTTTTTTTTCAACCCCAAGAAATCCCCTTCGACAAAAGATGCCACAAGAAATTCCGGCAAACTACAACTAGCAGAAAACAAACCCCGAGCGTGCCGGGCCATGATTTGTTGGTGTCTTTTGTCCTGGTCGGCAGTGCGCAGTGCGCAGGTAGGAAAAGGAAACCCCGAACCTAGGGGAATTTCTTAGGGTGTCTCGAGGACAATTCCTTAAGACGTTGCGCATGTCTTCGATTTCCACGACCGGCAGCTGCTAAGCTGAAGGAGGGTTGGACTCTAAATCCAGGTGAGACCTTGTGCCACGCTCTTGGTTTTTGATTTTTTTTGTCCGGGGCGGACAGATGCGGCCCGGATTTGGCGCGCAAATCACGGCGACTACATGCGGGCCTACCTCACACTTCACTTTTGTTCCGCCCGTCTCAACCCGATAGAATGTAGTCCGGGGAATGCCCGGAGAACCAGCTGTCGTTTTTCCTTCGCCGTTTTGGTTCACTTTTTTTGGCAACTTCTTGCGCAATTTCACAGACTGACAGTTGGGAGGCGCGGAATGACAGCCGCGTTGCATGTTCGCCTTCTTCTTGAGAGGCAAGTCGAGGGCTTCGACAGGTGGCATTATAATTTTTGGCCAATCAATTCTATTCTCAAAACAAAACCAAAGGAAAACAACAACCTATAACCCCATGAAATTAGGGAAATAAATAAAATGATATTCGACAAAAGAAAATTATAAATATGAATGCTGTTTGAAGTTAGATTATAAATGTATCTACTAGATCGCCAACTAGACTACTTACCGGAAATTCGAGAACCATTTCACCAATTGTGCTGTGTTGTTCTTGTTGAACTTGATGTCCGGGAAGTACATCTTGAGCACCGCGGAGCTGGGATAGCGCACCCAGAAGAACATCAGCTTGGCCTTGCGCAGGTGCATCGGTGTCAATGTAGAAGAGTGCAAAGGAGTCAAGGATTCGCAATTTCTAATAGATTATGTGGAATATATATATACGTATGAGATACATGTGATGGTCGACTGTCTTTCCAAAAATTTCCATGTTCGTGTGGGGCAGAGAACGGGCCAGAGATTTGAATCGAATGGGGATTGCCAACGTCTAACGTGGCTGCACTTTCGAGTGCCAATAATGAATGTCTAAGGGTGCCGGGTGCCGGGTGCAGGCCACCCACCTACGCCCCTGATTGAAAAAGCTGAGCTGGGCGGGAGTGGGTGCAGAAAGGATTGGAAATGGGGGGCTGGGGTTAGTAAGAGGCCAATGAGTGCAGCTCTTTCGATTGGCTGCTCGTCATTGATTTTTTCCGTTTCTGTGGCTGTTGCGAAATGCAACTCAAGCCAGGCCAAGTCGATGATGATGATGACTTGAGGGTCTTTGGGGGCTCACGACGAGGACTGGTCTCTGGCCGGAAGGGGCTGAGTGCACAGGGCGAGCTCAGGGGGTGGCAATAAATAAGGTTTTGATTACATTTTATAAAAGAATTTAGTTGGGGAAATAAATAAACTGAAGAAGACACTTGATTGGTTTCGTTTTGTAAGCGAGGTATGGGTCGGGTTAAGTACTTTGGCCCTTTCTTTGGCTCGGCAGCCCCCTTCGTTTCTCCCCTCTGATTTTCTTTTCTCTGCCCCCACTCCATGGACTAGGTGGAAACTCACTTGACCATCATCAATAGAGCAGACTGCTCCGATTCGATTTGTTGTTGTTGTTGTTTGTAAAAGGATATAGTAGGCTGCATGCCATCGAACTGCATGTCCGCCGAGTTGCACTCGGACTGGCGGTCCTGGGCGTCCATGACGGCCCGCAGGCAGGTCTTGTAGTCGGGCGAGCCTCCGTGGTGGGCGGCCGCTAGGAGGGCGGGGTGCAGCATCGACGGCGGGTGTGGCAGCGGCGGTGAGTCGCGCGAGTCCATCAGCGCACCCAAGCTGCCGGGCGGGCTCGACGAGAGCTGCATGGACTGGTGGTGCGGGTGGTGCTGTTGGTGGTGCTGATGCAACTGGGCGGCCGTGGGCTGGCCGGCGGCGGCATGTGGATTAAAGAACGGCGAGTACGGCGAGAAGACCTTGGACTCGTGCAGCGAGGGATTGGGAATGGCCACCGAGGTGGGCAAGGACACCGGCATCATGGGTGGTGGTGGTGGCGGTGGCTGCGGATGGTAGGGAGCTACTCCCCCACTGCCTCGCGTCGGACTCTGGGCGGGTGTGGCGCTGCTGTTGCCGTTCGCCGCCTGTTGCTGCTGTTGTTGTTGCTGCTGCTGTTGCTGGACACTCTGCTGCTGCTGTTGTTGCTGCTGCTGGGGAGCGTTCGAGGATCCACCGTTGGGCGGCACTACGCCGTCCTGGGCCAAAATCCTGCTGACGGTGCGTGGTGTGATGCGTGTGTCTGTGACCTTATGGCGTTTCTTCTTTGGAGTCACCACCAGGCTGAGGGCCTCGTTCTGCTCCAACTGCTGCTGCGTCTGCTGGGCACTCTGCTGCGGATTCTGAGCGGACTGTTGCTGTTGGGCGGACTGCTGCTGCTGCGCCTGCTGGTCGGGCGTTAGGCAGAAGGGACCGGTCATCGAGTTGTAGAGCGCGGCGGCGGCCACCGGATTCATGCCCTGTGGCGTCTTGGGCGCCTGGAACATGGCAGCCGCTGTGGGCGAAGGACGAATGTGAGGAGGTGGTATATTAAGGGTACTTAAGCTATTGTTAGTGGGGTTTGTTGGCCCGCTAGCCGGATTAGTATTCATGCCAGGATCGCCCGGCTGTTGTTGCTGTTGCTGCTGTTGCTGTTGCTGCTGAGCGGACATGGCCGCGGCGGCGGCGGCATGGTGCATCTGCAGGCCCATGGCAGCCGCTGCAGCAGCCGCGGGCGAGGCGAAGGACAACTGGCTACCGTTCAAGCGGGGAGCGGCAATAAGCTGCTGGCAGTTGGGCGGCATCAATGGATGCGGCTGTTGCTGCGCCACATTCTGCTGCTGCTGCTGCGAGCTTGGCTGTGGCTGTTGCGATCCTGGCTGCTGCTGTTGCTGCTGGGATCCCTGAGCCTGCTGCAGCTGCTGCTGCGCATTCGCGGACGGCTGGGCGGGCATCTGACTATTAGCTAGGAGTAGTGAACCATTATTACCTGATTGGGATGCGGGTGTGGGTCCGTTCTGGGGCCGGTCTGCCACCTTGGTGCGCGGCGATTTCCTGTCCAGGATCTGGGAGGCTAGCAGCAGGTCCTTGTTCAGCTGCTCGGCCGCTGCGGTCACGGAGTCGGCCTGCTTGCTGAAGAGTCTCCGCTGGTGGACGAAGCGGGTCACAATGGTGTCCACTAAGGCGGACAGCGAGGTGGTGATTTCGGACTTCAGGACATCGGCGAGTCCCTCGAGATCCGTGCCGGACATGCGCATCATGGAGCTATTGTTGTTGCTGCGCAGCATTTGGAACTTCTCCGACAGCTCCGACTTGAGGGCGCTGTGGGCGGCAGCCCCGCCCATTCGAGTGGGCAGTCGGGCGGGAGCCGGGTGGTGCATCTGCTGCTGTCGCGGGGCGACATTGGCGGCGTGCTGCTGCTGCTCCAACTGCTGTTGCTGCAGTTGTTGCAAGTGCTGTTGCTGGCGCTGCAGTTGCTGCTGTTCGTCCTTGCGCCGCTGCTGTTCCTGCTGCTCCTGCTCGAAGCGGCGCTGCTGCTCCTGCTGCTGTTGTTGCTGTTGCTGCTGCTGGTGTTGCTGCTGCTGTTGTTGCTGCTGCTGCTCGGCAGCCTCCTTGGCCATGCGTGCCTCCTGCTCGAAGAAGAACTGCTGGTACATGGCTGCGGCATGCGACATGTCGCCCATGTGCTGCAGCAGCGGTGGGAATCCTTGCGGCAGGGCGGGATGGCCCACGCCGACGAGAGGATTGTGCAGCTTGCCGGACATCATCTTGCTCATCATCTGGGACAGCATATTGGCGCCGGAGTCCCCGCTCTCGCCCAGCGTAGATTTCGGCTTGAGGGGCGATGGCGAGGGAGAGCTGGAGCCTGGAGCCTCCACCTTGTGGGCAGGACTTACATCATCGTCACCGGTTAGAGTGGGCGATGGGGATAGCTCGATGTGGTCACTGCTGCCATTGTCCGGCTCCTGCTCCTGCTCTGGTTCCGGCTCTTGATCTTGCTCCTGGTCCTGGTCGAGCTCCTGGCACTCACTCTCCTGCTCCATGCGAGTGCACAGCTGCACATACTTCTGCTGCATCTCGGCGAGCTGCTCCTGCATGGATCGCAGCTGCGACTTGAGGGCGTTCTTCTCCACGCGCTTCTGCTGGATCTGTGGCGACTCCAGCTCGTTGGACTCGCTGTCGTCCTGGTCGAGCATCATGCTCTGCAGATTGAGGCCGAAGTTCAGGCCAGCTGCGGCAGCCACGTATCGCTCCATGGCGTGTTGCTGGGGCTGGTAGAGCTTGCGCTTCTTGCAGCCGTTTACCTGGAGCTGGCCAGCCTGGACGAGTCCGGATGAGGGACTGCATCGCATGCCGGACACAATGTTCTCCACGCGTGCCCGCTTCAGGTCCATGCCTGGTTTCTTGAGGCATGTGGATGGGTCGCGCTTCTGCTCCACACAATCGTCGTCATCGTCCTCGTCCAGCACATCGTCCTTGCTGTTGTCCAGCAGCATCATGTCCGAGTGACTGGGCGAGGCCAGGCTCTCCAGATCGGATCCCCGCGAGTGCAGACCCATCAGCTCTACCTCGTCCAGCATGTCGTCCACAGACTCCTTCTTGGTGGGAAGCTGGGGGTCCTCTGGAGCACGGCTCTGGGATCTCTGGCGATTGGGGTCTTGCTCCTCCTGATCGGCCTCGTCATGGCCACCGTGGCTATCCAACGAGTCCGAGGACTTGCGTCGCAGGCTGCCATCGCTGGCCAGGCTGCTGTGGCTGCCACTGCCGCTCCCACTGTGACTGCTGTGGCTGCTGCCGTGCGGCGATTGCTGTGGGGCAGGCGCCGTCTGGGGCTCGCTCTTGATCTTGATGTCCGTCATGTCGGAGTCCTCGATGAGGTTGATGCTCTCCATCGTGTTGTTGTTGTTATTGTTGGCAGCTGCCGATATATTGTTGTTGTTGTTGAGCTTGGAGTGGAGCTGGTCCTTCTCCTGAAGCTGTTGCTGTTGCTGCTGTTGCATGGCCGTGCGGAGTTCCTGGTCGAGTTGCATGAGCTCCTTCTTTCCCTGCAGTATGTTGCGCAGCATATGATGGGCCACGAGATCGTGTTGCAACTGCTGTTGCTGCTGCTGCTGCTCTCCACTGCTAGCTCCTCCGTTCAAAGAACTTACGGATGCCGCTCTCGGAGGAGATCCTCCAGCCACGTCAGCTGCCGAAGCGTCCAGGGATCGATCACTGCAGGCCGAAACCCGACGACTTCCCTTGGGTGAGACACCGTGATGCGAGTGACTGGAGCTGTGGGCCGATCCTGGCGAGATCGAGGCATTGGTTCCGTTGCTCAGTGGCGTTGTGGTTGCTGTTGTGGCGGTATTGTTGTTGAGCTGCTGCTGCTGTTGCTGCAACAATTTGGACGTGGAATTCAGGCTTCCGATCAGTAGCTCGGCACTGGTGGCCGTCTCCATGGCGGCGGCCAGCATGGCGTTGTCCAGGCTCTGGGGCAGACCACTGGTGGCGTCCTGGGCCTGTTTCATTTGGCGGCCGAACAGTTCGTTCAGCATCTTGGCCGAGGATCCCCCGAACAGGTTGCCAAAGGCGGCCGTCAACAAGGACGACGCGGAACTGGCACCCGAAACCGGTGAGTTGCTTGTGGGCGAGTGGCTGGGAATTGTCGCTTGACTCAGTCCCAGTCCCGAAGGACTCGTGTTGGCCGTGCTGGCCGATTGGGGTTGGAACAGGGCTCCTCCTCCACCAGCGGCACCCGCAGCAGCCGCGGCAGCGCTACTCATGAAGCCAGCAGTGTTGCTGGTGTTGCTAGTTTGGCTAGGGTTGCTAGTATTGCTGCTGCTGTTGCAGTTGCTATCTTTGCTCAAGGATGTGTGGCGCGAACGACGATTCACTTTAGCACTCGCGTTGCTATTTCCGTTTCCGCTACCGTTCCCGTTACTATTACTGTTACTATTGATATTACTACTTCCGTTGCTCCCGATCGAGCTTACGTTTGAACTTACGACGTTCGTGTTCTTGACTGGAGTCGGTACTGAAGTAACTCCGGATTTTTTAGCCGCGCACGTTGTTGTCTTGCCGACGGCCGTTGACTGTCTGATTTGTCGACTACTCCGGCCGCTTCGATGACTGCGACTGAGACCTCCGCTGATGTTGCTGCCGCTGCCGCTGCCACTGCCACGATTACAGTTGTTAGCCGTTGTCGTTGCCGTTGCCGTTGCTGTGGCCGTCGTTGCTCCCTTAATGTTGTTGGTGGTGCTGCTCGCGCTGCTGTTGCTGTTGTTGCAACCTTCGAGCACGACCACGACGTCGTCGTCGGAATCGTCAGAATCGCCCTCGTCGTCGTTGACTTTCTCCTTCTCCTTTTCCTGGGCCTGGTGTTGGTGCCTTGCCTGCTGCTTCGACTGCTGCTCTCTCTTGTTCTCCTGCTCTTCCGTGTTGTTGCTGTTGCTGTTAGTATTAGTGTTAGTATTAGTATTGGTGTCGCCGCAATTCGCCGCAAAAATGTCGCTGCCGTTTGTTAGATGTATTGGTGTTGGGGTCGTACTATGTCCGTTTAGCGGTGGTTGTTGCTGTTGCAGCGGCGACTGTTGCTGCTTGGTGCTTGGGGCTGTTATCTCCGGCTGTTCTCCAGTCGCCTTCAGCAGCACGTTGTTCTCATCGCTGTACAAACCAAAACAGTCCGCCTCGTACTCCTCTGATGACATCATAAGATGATGTCCACCAGCAGCAGCAGCAGCAGCTCTCTCGCTTTTCGCTCAGCTTTCTCTCTCTCTGCTCTGCCTCTGCCTCTGCGTTTTCCCCTCAACGACGACGACAACGACGACTTTCCCGGATTGGCTGGCCTCACCCCGGAATTTCCCCTGCTTTCCTCGGCTTTTCTTCTTTTTTTTTTCGTTTCCTTTCTCTCCAGAGGCCCGAATTCGCCGCGACGTGTGCGTGTTTGTTTAAGGTCCTGTGGCAAATCTAGGCAAATCCTTCAAAATTTTTTAACTCCAGATGCGCCCGTATCCCTATCTGGTACTGATTCAGTGTCCAAGTGTCCAAGTCCTAGTGGTGTGTGTATGAAGGGGATATCGATGTGTGCTGCGCCTTCAAAACCGTTCGCTCCTGCAATCCTTGATGTCCTTGTTTGTTTGTTGTTGTTGTTGGTGTTGCGCCAAACGTTGAAATTTTGTTGTAGCTCAACTTTTTTGGTCGAAAATGTTCAAAGTTCAAAATTCTTGGCTGGCACTCTTTGCTTTGATTTTGCGTCTGCGTTTTCTACGTTTTTTTCTGCGTTTTCTAATTGTGAATTTTGTTTTGAATTTTCTTTCCACCACCACACACATGCGAATGTCCTTTGCATTTAATTTTATTTAGATTTGATTTTTATTTCCTCGCTGGTCTTCTTATAATTTCCCTTCCAGTTTGTTGCTTCTTTTCGCTTTGATTTCAAAAATGTTTTCGATGCTTTTTTTTTTATATTTTTTGGTTTTTCGGCTCAAAAACTTGCGAATGAGTTCGAGATGTGTCTTTAATTTTTATTTCGTTTTTTTTCGTCGATTTAAGATTTTATTTTTTGTCGTTTTGGGCTTAGTTGGTTTGGTTTTAGTTTGGTTTTTTTTCGTTTAATAATCCTTGCTTGCGCTCAAAAAATCTTTCTGTAAAATGAACGGTAGGCATAGGTCAGATATCTGCTAGATGCTTAAATGGAAAAAGGAGTAGGGATATGGCAGGAGGTGGGGGTGTTTGATGTTTAAACGAAAAGTAAAAGTGGCTGGCCGAAAGCTTCTGGTTGGGGTGGCCACTTGATTGGTGCTCGGTTTGGGGCTGCCCAAGAAGGGGTGGCTGCCCAGTGTCGGCCTTAGAGGGCGGGTGGCCTTAATTCAGCAGAATCCCACCCTCCAGACACACAGGTTTTTATCTAATTTCTCCACTTGATCTTGTATCTGTCGGATGACTAAGTGTGTGTTGTGTGTGTTGGTGGGGTTGAGGGCGGTGTAATACCCGCCCCCTTTCAGCTTTCTAAATGGGCAGCAACAAATAAAGATAAGTGACTCCGTTTTCGCTGATAAACAAGTTTGACTTACTTTCAGATACAGATACACAGACACAAGCCGAGTCACAGATACTCAGATACATAGATACTTTGCATATGGCCGTGGACTGAATGCGTAAGCACTCGAAATAATCAATAAGGGAACTTTGGAACCGCCAAATGCGTCAAACCATCGACTATCGATCACATGCCTTACTATGGTAGGCCTCTATCACACATTTAGTCGCCTCTGTCTACGAGGGGCCATCTGCATTTTCCAAGAATCCAACAGAATCCTCCCCTTGCTCAGGCCAGACCCTTCAATATTTATTTCATTATATGATTGCAACTGCGAGTGCATTGGAATGCACAAGGACTCCAGCCCGTAGGACCAAGTCAATGTCAACAGAAGCCACCCTCCCAGGCGGTGAGGGTTCTGCTCCTGGTTCCTGGTTCCTTTTCGGCAACTGTACTTGCCTCGAGCCTGCAGCTTGCAAGGACAACCCAATGGGACAAGAATTAAAACCGAGGAGGGTGAAGAAGGGAAGCAAAGGCAGGGGATAGGCATAGCCACCCCTATATCCAGGACTTGTCAAGTTGGGCTTGGCTCTAGATAGGAGGTAGGATATAGGGAGGGACGATAAATTCCATTGCATTGCAGATCGTTAAAGATATTAGAGTTTTTAAAATTTACCACAAACAAAGCGTTATTTTTCTCTGTCGTCCATCATAGATCCTCCTGCAAAAGAAAGAGTACATTAATGGTTAAAATCTGGCAGGAAAATGGTAGCTTATAGCATCTTATTTCTATATAGAATCTTAAATAGTACTTTAAATATCTTAGTTGCGGTTTAGATTTGTGTTTTATTTAGTTTATATATTTATAAAATACTAGGAATAATATTTTCACCTCAATTACTTTAGATAATATCTCCACAAGGCACCCACGTGCCCAAATTTTCTAGTCGAAGAAGCCTACTTAATTGTCTTGTCGTGTTTACAACCATTTCTTTTAAGAAATGCTTTTCTTAGACACTTTTTAATGACCAAATAAGACAGTTGGCATTCACAAGTTCAATGCACTTAGGGTCTAGGCCCGGACTTCTATGAGAGTCTTATCAATAGGCCCTTCTAACGGCCCTTCAACCCCTCGGAGGGTTAGAGGAGGGCCATATGGCGCTATCCCTCAGCTAAAGGAGAAGAAAGGAACCAAAGGAGCAAAGAAAGTTGCCAGCTGAGGCGAACTTCCACCTACGAGCCTACGAAACAGCAGTGCTGATAATTACGACCTTAACACATTTTCCGTTCATGTTTGGACTGAAAAACGCTGGCTTCGCTAGCTGGCTGGCTGGGTGACTTGGCTGGCTTGGTACTTTGCATGCGCTCGTCATGAGGGATGGGCTTGGAGGAGGAAGAGCTGGGGCAAGGTGAGGGAATGATAAGGGGTGGGGGTGCTGGGCATGTGTATCTCAAAGTGTGCTTTGGAATGTGCCTTCACAGATCGCGGCACACGGTAATGTACTACTCGTCGCACAAACGAACGAAGTGTGGCACGGCCATGTGTTTTCGAGTTTCATCCTCTGTCTCTCTCTGTCAGTCGCTTTTGGGACCCTCTCTTTCTCGTGGTCGGGTGTCATCATTAAAATATGCTTTGGCCCGCCACCACAGCTCATAAATAGGCGGGTGGGGTGAGGTTGCAGGCAGCGTGCTGTTACGGTCAAGTGACTCTAAAATCCGTTAAAAGCAAAAACTGTCCCAAAAAACCCAACTAGTGGCAATTAGAACTCTATGATTTCGCTTCAGAGATCCATTTTTCTAGATTAAACACACAGGGTCCCGAGACTGGAATTGTGTTTTAATGGCTGGGGAAATCATAGAGCAAGAATAATGCGAAACCGAGTCAAAATCTGCAGCCCCTATCCGAAAATCGGATGCGGAAGGAAACGATCGTTAGAGCCAAACAGCTGATGATCTCAAATGAAGGCTGCTTTTAAAAGGGAGTTGAAATACACTTGAAGAAAATAGAAAAGTATTTAAAAATTTAAGAATATTTATAAAACCATGAGGATATGATAGGTTAGGGATCCCTTAGTCCTTAAAATAACTCATTTAGATGAGAATAAATTTAACAAAAAAAATGTGACTATAAGAACTATTTCTTAAGATTTTCTCCTAGTGTATGGCACGTACTGACAGACACGAGCGAAACCAAGAACGATCATCGGAGCACACCTGGACTCACTCGCTCTATGGCTCAATGCGCGTGCGGCGATCCAGTGGGGGTAACGTCAGGAATCGGGGGAGGAGGGGTGATGACCAAAAGGAAGCGAGGAGCAGGGAACCGAGTCACTCGGGCAGACGGAACCAAGGGGCGTGCTCGGTGGTGGCAGCAGTTGACATCCATCCAGACGGTTGGAGGAAACGATTTCTACCTGATCCGGATTCCGGAACTATTTCTATTTATGCCAAAGTCGTCGAAATAGTGTTTTCGCTTGCTTTTGGCATTCATTGCCACTGCAGTTGCAGTTATTGGTAGTTGGTAGTCGAAAGGAAGGAGACCAAGCAGACCAAGCTCTAATCCTGCTGCCACAAACACATTAAAATTATGCTGCTGCAAAGTTTGCTGGCAGTCGTTTCCACGAGAATTGGCAGCGGCAACAGCGCCAACAGCAGCAACTTTGTGAGGCTGGCGGAATTGTCCTGAAAGAAAATGTCCTTCTCCGCCTTCTCCAGTCGTACGGCTGTCTCAAACAGTCGGGTTTTATGCGAAAAGTTTTGCAACGAACTTGCCAAAAGGTCCTCCTGCCGGAGGTTTGCAATGCAGTAAACTGGAATTATTATGATGTCAGCTCAGTCTCGGTTATTGTTATGGCCAGTTTTTTGGGGGGAGGATGTGCAGCAGGAGGTGGAGAAAGGGCAGCAGCAGCAGCACGCTCCTTGGCTGAGCCCCTAACTGCCAGATAAGATACAGATAGTAGTACTTGTGCTATAGTACACGAAAACACTCTCACAGATATCGGCGTTTGGTCGCCATATGGTGGCGTAGATACGACATCCGAGCGATACTTTCGAGTGGAGCTGGTAAAGGTTTTCCCGTGGCACTTTTCTATTTAGAAGTAGGTTGCTGGGATTCTAATCAAAAATAGGACATAATGGGTATAATCATTATATATAATATATGATAACAAATATTATAAAACAAGCTGAATATTTTAAGATTCTTGGGAAACAAAACTATTGAACAAATGGTATAGAACAAGTTCCTTTTAAGTTTCTTTTCGGTTTATATGTAATTTATATTTGAAATAAACTTGCATAGCCTTATAGCTTAATTTCTGTAGAGTTTTTCATTTCTAGGGGTATCCTTTTAGTCTTCACCCAACCCATTCTGTCTTGTCCTGCTCGTTGTTTTCAGACATAAGCACATTTTGTGGTCGTTGTTTGTCGTGGCTGCGTTGTTGGCTTTTATTGTCTTTCAGCGCTTGATTAGATAGCACAAGCACACAGACCTATAGCATATAGTATATAGACTAGAATACAGATACAGATACGGATACGGATACCGGCCCAGGCACGCAATGGTCGCGCCAGAAAATGGCCATATGTGGCCAAGTCGGCTCCCACTGCTCATTTTTCAGACTTTTGTTTGGACAGTGGCCGGCGCTCGTTCGACTTTGAGGCTTTTCCTTTTCGCTGCACTGGGCTTTTGTCCCACCTGGGCGCCTGCACCAGCACCTGCATCTGCCACCCACTCGGCGCGCCTCCCCCGCCACCTTCGTGTCCAGGGCTTATCGCGCTTTTAATATCGCAACGAAATATAAAAAGGAGAAAAAAACGAGGTATTGGGGGAAAATGCATGCCTAACGTGTGTCCTTTAGCTTTGGCCTATCTATGCAGATATCTTTCTCTGCCGTCAGGCTGGGAGGGGGCGAGGTACTGGCGAGGGGGGCATTAAAAACATTTTCATTGTAATCAAGCGTACTTTCTTTTATTATTATTATTTTGCCTCTCTTTCCGGCACTAACGACGCAAATTACTCAAATGTATCTGCCAGATACTTTTTGTTTTCTGCCCCGATGTCGTTCGTGTATCTATCTTGTGTGGCCCCGTCTCTGTCTCTGTCTAGCATAGCTCGTATATTATTTATTGATCGCGATAAGCGTCACGAAGCCAATTTCAAGCGTTAGCCAAATGATACTTGCCTCCAGTCCCCCCAGTATCCCTAGCACCACCCTTTACTCCACCACTACTCCTCGAGCTCTTAATCGTAAGTGCTTTTTGCACTCGCTTCCAAACTAATTCCAGTGTACAGTCCCGGCAGGCCCGGCAGGCGTTCAAAGTTTCCGATTCAGTCCCAATTCAGTGATTTCCCCTACATCCGTTTTGGTGCGTGGCACTGGGTAACCCTCTTGGTTGGTTATGGGCTTCCCTATTTACAAATTATTAAGGTTGCAATCAGAGAATGCAGCTGGCAGATGTCTTGCGCCCTGCCTCGCTTCCCTGAACTCGCAACCCCCCACTCGCAACGTCTTGAAGACGCTCTGGGAAACCAACTGTCGTCGATCCTCGGCCGTTACAGTCCGGGGTTGAGGCTTCTTCTTCATAGTTACTTTTCGGGGTGGTAGGGGTTCTGGCATGGCATGGGCCCTGGTGTGTCCTGGGTCTGGCGTGTGCTGGGCGAGCACGAAGCATAAACGAAGTCTCGAAGTCATCTGAGTGGAACTTTAAGGTACCATCAGAAACTATAACTACCCACCCACTTTTGTAACGTATTTTTCTTAACCAACTTGTACACATTAGTGGGAAATGAGAAGTGGGTGTGGAAGCTTCTGGAGCTGGCTGGCTATCAAAACTTTGGCACGCAATGCCTACAAATGCGACGCCTCCAAAGTCGCTTGAATAATTCAATTTTTCGTGTGTCCGGCGCGTAATGTGTCCATTTAGTCGGGGTCATTACGAGACGCATATGAGCACGGCGCTTAACGGACATAAACACTTCCTTCCACAGGCTTTCCTTACCCATCCTGAGCCGCCCAAGTCCACATTCCACCTGCGGCCGCCAGCTCCTTCCTTGACAAAACGCCTCCTCCTCGGAGACCGCCAGCTGGGGATGGAGGTGGTGCCGTTGGTTGACTTATTTTTATGACAAATGCGAGATATGTTAATGCGATAGGCTGGCGGTTATTAAGGAAATTACCCACACATGGCAGAGTCCTGGCCCCGAGTCCTTGAGCTCCGCGGACAAATATTTGAAGTTTCAATTTCAGTACGGCAGTGAGCATTAATAGAATACATATATCCGGCCGGAGAAATGACTTCATGTCATGCCTTGAGATAATTAGAGGTTGTACCCGCTGCCCCCGGGCTGCCAGGCTTTCTCCTATCGGCGCTTACGAATCTTGTACTCCTTTCCTTTTTGTGTTTCGTTTTAAAAAAGAAATTAAAGGGGAGGAGGTCCGGAGGTGTCTCTGATTGCATGTCCAGAGCCTTGGACGGCACTTGGGTGTCATTTGCCCCGCCGGAGTGACTAACATGGGACCCGGAGTCCAAGGTACGGCCATTAAAAGGCCTGACTCATCACGGCATCCAGTGCCTCCCTGGCTCGCCCCAATCTCGAGCTAAATTTGTTTAAATTCATCTGCGTATCAACAAATTGATTGTATTTAATTCAATTTACAATGAACCGAAAGGCAGGGCACACAGAGTGCAGCAACTATCGAGCAAGTTTTCGAGGCGTCT